CTCGCACAGACACAGAATTGTTACTGAGGGACACAGAATTGTTACTTAGGGCCACAGAACTTCAGGGTTACTCAGACAGCACAGCCACAGAATTGTTACTCAGGGCACAGACACACAGAAACTGTTACTGAGGGCCACAGAATTTTTACTTAGGGACAAAGAAACGCTAGTTAGGGCCACAGAATTGTTACTCAGGGACAGACAGAATTGTTACTGAGTGCCAGAGAATTGTTACTCAGGGACAGACAGATTGTTTGTTACTGAGTGCCAGAGAATTGTTACTTAGGGCCACAGAAACTTTAATTAGGGCCACAGAATTTTTACTCAGGGACAGACAGAATTGTTACTGAGTGCCAGAGAATTGTTACTCAGGGACAGACAGAATTGTTACTGAGTGCCAGAGAATTGTTACTCAGGGCCACAGAAACTTTACTTAGGGCCACAGAATTTTTACTCAGGGACAGGGACAGACACAGAATTGTTACTGAGTGCCAGAGAATTGTTACTCAGAGAATTGTTATCAGAGGGCCACAGAATTGTTACTCAGGGACATTGTTACAGAGAATTGTTACTTAGGGGCACAGACACAGAAACTTTACTTAGGCCACAGAATTGTTACTCAGGGACAGACAGAATTGTTACTGAGTGCCAGAGAATTGTTACTCAGGGACAGACAGAATTGTTAGTGCCTTAGGGCAGACACACAGAGAATTGATAACAGGGCCACAGAATTTTACTCAGGGACACAGAATTGTTACTCAGGCAGAGAATTGTTACAGACACAGAATTGTTACTGAGGGCCACAGAATTGTTACTTAGGGACACAGAAACGTTAGTTAGGGCCAGAGAATTGTTACTCAGGGACAGACAGAATTGTTACAGAGAATTGCCAGAGAATTGTTACTCAGGGACAGACAGAATTGTTACTGAGTGCCAGAGAAGAATTGTTACTTAGGGCCACAGAAACTTTATTAGGGCCACAGAATTTTTACTCAGGGACAGACAGAATTGTTACTGAGTGCCAGAGAATTGTTACTCAGGGACAGACAGAATTGTTACTGAGTGCCAGAGAATTGTTACTCAGGGCCACAGAAAACTTTACTTAGGGCCAGAGAATTTTTACTCAGGGACAGACAGAATTGTTACTGAGTGCCAGAGAATTGTTACTCAGGGACAGACAGAATTGTTACTGAGTGCCAGAGAATTGTTACTCAGGGACAGACAGAACTTTATTGTTACTGAGTGCCAGAGAATTGTTACTTAGGGCCACAGAAACTTTACTTAGGGCCACAGAATTTTTACTCAGGGACAGACAGAATTGTTACTGAGTGCCAGAGAATTGTTACTCAGGGACAGACAGAATTGTTACTGAGTGCCAGAGAATTGTTACTCAGGGACAGACAGAATTGTTTACTGAGTGCCAGAGAATTGTTACTTAGGGCCACAGAAACTTTAATTAGGGCCACAGAATTTTTACTCAGGGACAGACAGAATTGTTACTGAGTGCCACAGAGAATTGTTACTCAGGGACAGACAGAATTGTTACTACCGAGTGCCAGATTGAGAATTGTTACTCAGGGACAGACAGAATTGTTACTGAGTGCCAGAGAATTGTTACTTAGGGCCACAGAAACTTTTATTAGGGCCACAGAATTTTTTACTCAGGGGACAGACAGAATTGTTACTGAGTGCCAGAGAATTGTTACTCAGGGACAGACAGAATTGTTACTGAGTGCCAGAGAATTGTTACTCAGGGACAGACAGAATTGTTACGGTCAGTGCCAGAGAATTGTTACTCAGGGCCACAGAAACTTTACTTAGGGCCACAGAATTTTTACTCAGGGACAGACAGAATTGTTACTGAGTGCCAGAGAATTGTTACTCAGGGACAGACAGAATTGTTAGAGTGCCAGAGAATTGTTACTCAGGGACAGACAGAATTGTTTACTGAGTGCCAGAGAATTGTTACTTAGGGACATTAGGGACAGAAACTTTAATTAGAGGCCACAGAATTTTACTCAGGGACAGACAGAATTGTTACTGAGTGCCAGAGAATTGTTACTCAGGGACAGACAGAATTGTTACTGAGTGCCAGAGAATTGTTACTCAGGGACAGACAGAATTGTTACTGATGCCAGAGAATTGTTACTCAGGGACAGACAGAAATTTACTGAGTGCCAGAGAATTGTTACTTAGGGCCACAGAAACTTTAATTAGGGCCACAGAATTTTTTACTCAGGGACAGACAGAATTGTTACTGAGTGCCAGAGAATTGTTACTCAGGGACAGACAGAATTGTTACGGAGTGCCAGAGAATTGTTACTCAGGGCCACAGAAACTTTACTTAGGGCCAGAGAATTTTTACTCAGGGACAGACAGAATTGTTTACTGAGTGCCAGAGAATTGTTACTCAGGGACAGACAGAATTGTTACGGAGTGCCAGAGAATTGTTACTCAGGGCCCAGAAACTTTTTACTTAGGGCCACAGAATTTTACTCAGGGCCACAGAATTGTTTCAGGGACAGACAGAATTGTTACTGAGTGCCAGAGAATTGTTACTCAGGGACAGACAGAATTGTTACTGAGTGCCAGAGAATTGTTACTCAGGGACAGACAGAATTGTTACTGAGTGCCAGAGAATTGTTACTCAGGGCCCCAGACAAATTTTACTTAGGGCCACAGAATTTTTACTCAGGGACAGACAGAATTGTTACTGAGTGCCAGAGAATTGTTACTCAGGGACAGACAGAATTGTTACTGAGTGCCCAGAGAATTGTTACTTAGGGCCACAGACAGAAACTTTAATTAGGCCACAGAATTTTTACTCAGGGACAGACAGAATTGTTACTGAGTGCCAGAGAATTGTTACTCAGGGACAGACAGAATTGTTACGGAGTGCCAGAGAATTTTGTTACTCAGGGACAGACAGAATTGTTACTGAGTGCCAGAGAGAATTGTTACTTAGGGCCACAGAAACTTTTTAGGGCCACAGAATTTTTACTCAGGGGACAGACAGAATTGTTACTGAGTGCCAGAGAATTGTTACTCAGGGACAGACAGAATTGTTACTGAGTGCCAGAGAATTGTTACTCAGGGGACAGAAACTTTACTTAGGGCCACAGAATTTTTACTCAGGGACAGACAGAATTGTTACTGAGTGCCAGAGAATTGTTACTCAGGGACAGACAGAATTGTTACGGAGTGCCAGAGAATTGTTACTTAGTGCCAGAGAATTGTTACTTAGGGCCACAGAAACTTTACTTAGGGCCACAGAATTTTTACTCAGGGACAGACAGAATTGTTAATTTGAGTGCCAGAGAATTGTTACTCAGGGACAGACAGAATTGTTACGGAGTGCCCAGAGAATTGTTACTCAGGGACAGACAGAATTGTTACTGAGTGCCAGAGAATTGTTACTTAGGGCCACAGAAACTTTAATTAGGGCCACAGAATTTTTACTCAGGGACAGACAGAATTGTTACTGAGTGCCAGAGAATTGTTACTCAGGGACAGACAGAATTGTTACCGAGTGCCAGCCAGAATTGTTACTCAGGGACAGACAGAATTGTTACTGAGTGCCAGAGAATTGTTACTTAGGGCCACAGAAACTTTAATTAGGGCCACAGAATTTTTACTCAGGGACAGACAGAATTGTTACGGAGTGCCAGAGAATTGTTACTCAGGGACAGACAGAATTGTTACGGAGTGCCAGAGAATTGTTACTCAGGGCCACAGAAACTTTACTTAGGGCCACAGAATTTTTACTCAGGGACAGACAGAATTGTTACTGAGTGCCAGAGAATTGTTACTCATGGGACAGACAGAATTGTTACGGAAGTGCCAGCCAGATAATTGTTACTCAGGGCCCCAGAAACTTTACTTAGGGCCACAGAATTTTTACTCAGGGACAGACAGAATTGTTACTGAGTGCCAGAGAATTGTTACTCAGGGACAGACAGAATTGTTACTGAGTGCCAGAGAATTGTTACTTAGGGCCACAGAAACTTTACTTAGGGCCACAGAATTGTTTCTCGCACAGACACAGAATTGTTACTCGCACAGACACAGAATTGTTACTGAGGGCCACAGAACTGTTACTTGGGGCCACAGAAACGTTAATCAGGGACACAGAATTGTTACTGAGGGCCACAGAACTGTTACTTAGGGCCACAGAATTGTTACTCGCACAGACACAGAATTGTTACTCAGGGACACAGAATTGTTACTCAGGGACACATAATCGTTTAAATAAAGAGTATGTCAGACAACATGCAGAGGAGTGGCAGAGGAGGCAATGTTTTAGGAGCGAGCAGACGTGGCAGCAGAGGAAGGGGTCGAGGCAGCACTATTCGCAGCCAGAGGCCAGTGCTCCCGGTGTCATCCAGTACAGTGAGGAAGAGCTAACAGAGGGCGGTCAGGTGCCCACGGGGGGAGACATGGCGAGGAGAGTGGCTCGGTAGTGGCGAGGAGAGTGGCTCGGTAGCCGGTGTAGAGACAGGTCTGTCTCCTGACCCACACGCAGCCGAGGGGGCTAGTAGTGAGGCGGAGACCCTAATTGATGATGATGAGGCTGATCGCACTTGGCAGCCTCGTCGTCATCAGGCTATTGCTTCTGCATCATCAGGAGAAGAGGGTGGCAGCTTGGCAGCGAGCAAAACAGTCGGTGGGTTGTCTCCATCGCCACACTCTGCCATGTGCCACTTTCAGGTCTCCTCACACACTGCTGGTGTGTTGAATTTTTTGACATAGGGTGCTGGCAGATTACGGGCCTCCCATAGCTGCTGCCAGGCCCCTAATCTGCCATGGGCCCCTATATACCGCTTCCTCATGCTGCTGCCAGGTCCAGAGTCTCTCATGCCATGTGCCACTTTCAGGTCTATCCACACTGGTGGTGTGTAGAACTGTTGTGTTTTTTTTGACATAGGGTGCTGGCAGATTATGGGCCTCCTATAGCTGCTGCCAGGCCCCTAATCTGCCATAGGCCCCTATATACCGCCTCCTCATGCTGCTGCCAGGTCCAGAGTCTGTCATGGGTCCCTGTACGGCCTCCATTGCTGCTGTCTCCATCGCCACACTCTGCCATGTGCCACTTTCAGGTCTCCTCACACACTGCTGGTGTGTAGAATTTTTTGACATAGGGTGCTGGCAGATTACGGGCTCCCATTAGCTGCTGCCAGGCCCTAATCTGCCATGGGCCCCTATACCGACTCCTCATGCTGTGACGTTGCAACAAGGTGGAATTCAACCCTACATATGTTAGACCGCCTTTACGAACAGCAAAAGGCCATCACAGATTTCCTGATGTTAAAAGCGGATAAAGGTATTCCCTGTGTAACTTAGATGTCAGCCATTGGCAGCTCATGCGTGACACCTGCGCTTGCTCAGGCCCTTTGAGGAGGCCACGCTATTCGTGAGTCGGCAGGGACTATGGGGATGAACGACGTCATTCCTCTGTTGCACGTCCTGGAACAAATGCTGTTAACAATGGCTGGTCAGGGTGCGGTAGACGTGGCGCACAGATCTCAACGCCACATGACCCCTGTGGGGGGCAGGACAGGAAGAAGAGGAGGAGGTAGAGGAGGACATTGGTGCTCAGGAATTATTGAGTGAAATGGGGTGGTTTTTCCACTCAGCGGACAGGAGTGGAGGAGGAGCAGGAGCATCTGGTAGAGGAGGAGGAGGAGGAGGAGGAGACAGAGGACCCAGACGCACCGTGGCAGTATGCTGTGGAGATGGAGGCAGGGAGTCCCTCGCATTCCTTGGCACAAATGGCCCATAGCATGCTCGGTTGCTTGCGTAGCGACAGCCGAATAATAACCATCAGACAGAGGGATGACTTTTGGCTGTCCACCTTGTTGGACCCTCGCTACCGTTCAAAAATGGTGGCCTTTTTCACACCTGCTGAGAGGGAGGCCAAAATAACGTACTATAAAAACCACCTATGTAGTCAGTTGGTCTCTGCCTTTGTGCGCCAACGTCCATCCTCAGACACTGTGGGCCCTGTGCGCTCGCGTTCCGCTGCGATGGCAGCAGGGGAGGGGTGGGGTGGTAGGAGCAGTGGCAGCTCCACCAGCAGCAGCGGCTGCCTCAGTCTGCAGTCGATGATGAGTAGCTTTCTTCACCAGCGCAGTGTGAGGAAACTACTAACCAGCCGCAGCAGCAGCAGCAGCAGCAGCATCAGGTGGACCTGGAGCAGGACCTCAAACAACAGGCTTAGGCCTACTTGGACAGCACCCTGCCAACCGAGGTAGACAATCCCCTTGACTACTGGGCAACGAAACTTGACCTTTGGCCCCAACTAGCTGAATTTGCCCTTGAAAGGCTGTCATGCCCGGCCAGTAGCGTGGCATCGTCGAGGAGCGCGTGTTTAGTGCGGCAGGAGGTATTGCAACTCCGCGGAGGACACGACTGTCCACCCAAAGTGTGGAGAGACTGACGTTTGTGAAAATGAATCAGGCGTGGATTAGTCTGGATTTCAAACCACCAGTTCCTGACACAACTGACTAAATCCGCCATGAATCATGCCCCAAACATGTGCCACTTTCAGGTCTCCTCACACTGCTGGTGTGTTCCATTTTTTGTCATAGGGTGCTGGCAGATTACGGGCCTCCCATAGCTGCTGCCAGGCCCCTAATCTGCCATGGGCCCCTATACCGCCTCCTCATGCTGCTGCCAAGTCCAGAGTCTCTCATGGGTCCCTGTACGGCCTCCCATTGCTGCTGTCTCCATCGCCACACTCTGCCATGTGCCACTTTCAGGTCTCCTCACACTGCTGGTGTATTCCATTTTTTGTCATAGGGTGCTGGCAGATTACGGGCTTCCCATAGCTGCTGCCAGGCCCCTAATCTGCCATGGGCCCCTATACCGCCTCCTCATGCTGCTGCCAGGTCCAGAGTGTGTCATGGGTCCCTGTACGGCCTCCCATTGCTGCTGTCTCCATCGCCACACTCTGCCATGTGCCACTTTCAGGTCTCCTCACACTGCTGGTGGGTTCCATTTTTTGTCATAGGGTGCTGGCAGATTACGGGCCTCCCATAGCTGCTGCCAGGCCCCTAATCTGCCATGGGCCCCCGTACCGACTCCTCATGCTGCTGCCAGGGCCCGTAATCTGTCATGGGCCCCTGTTGTCGCTTGTTGGCATATTCCGCTCGTTCAGATGCTCCTTCTCCTGCTACTCCTCTTCACGGATTCCGTCAGCAGTCTTTCTTGGAATCCGTTTCCAAGAGACAACAGTTTGCGAGCACGCACCAGACGGTGCAGAAACTGAACGTCCTCCTGTCCAAGTTGCTGCTGCCAGGCTTGTAATCTGTCATGCGCCCCTGTACCGCCTCCTCATGCTGCTGCCAGGTCCAGAGTGTGTCATGGGCCCCCGTACCGACTCCAAATGCTGCTGCCAGGCCCGTAATCTGTCATGGGCCCCTGTACCGCCTCCCCATGCTGCTGCCAGGTCCAGATTGTGTCATGGGTCCCTGTACGGCCTCCCATTGCTGCTGCCAGGCCTGTAATCTGCCATGGGCCCCCCCTACCGACTCCTCATGCTGCTGCCAGGCCCGTAATCTGCCATGGGCCCCTGTACCGCCTCCTCATGCTGCTGCCAGGTCCAGAGTGTGTCATGGGTCCCTGTACGGCCTCCCATTGCTGCTGTCTCTATCGCCACACTCTGCCATGTGCCACTTTCAGGTCTCCTCACACTGCTGGTGGTTTCCATTTTTGTCATAGGGTGCTGCATGGCCTCCCATTGCTGCTGCCTCCACCGCCACACTGTGGCTCCACACTCTGGTTTTGGCCCCGTGACTGGCCAAATGAGTGAAGTGTGCGGTGATTCTAAGATCGACGGCACTCATCTGCATGTCATACTGCCTGACAGTATTATTTCTCTTCCCCAGCAGACTCCAAGGGCATTTAAATTAAAGGTACAGTGTTCAGCACTAATATTAAGTCTCTCTGAAGCCTAGAAACACCCTTTTTTAAGTTAAATTCACAGCGAATATATTCGACTCGAATCGAATTTTTTCTACGAATTCGCCGAATCAGTCGAATCGAATTTTTGAATACTTCGCTCATCTCTAGTTATAAGTATCATAGTCTTTCCCACCATTTTAGAATTTATCACAATAGGGATCCATCTTGTTTGAAATTCTGTGGGATCGATCGAGTTTCAGCACATTGGAGGGGAGGAGATAGGGTCAAGTCCATCTCACAGAATGAAAGAGTAGAGGATTTAGTGTTTAAAGACTATTTTTTATTTTTATTTTATTTTATGCATTTATATTTATTTTTATTTTTATATTTTCATTTTCATTTTCATTTCCATTTTCATTTTTATTTTTATTTTTATTTTTATTTATATTTATTTTTATTTTTATTTTCATTTTCATTTTTTATTTTTATTTTTATTTTTATTTTATTTCATTTTATTTTTATTTTTATATTTATTTTTATTTTTATTTTTATTTATATATTTTTTATTTTATTTTTATGTTTATTTTTATTTTTATTTTTATTTTATTTTTATTTATTATTTTTTATTATTTATTTTTATTTTTATTTTCATTTTTTATTTTATTTTATTTTATTTTAATTTATTTCATTTGATTTTGTAATCTGTTTTTAGATAGATACACATTTGTTAATATGAATTATATTAAATTATAAAGATATTGTTTTTATTTGAATTGTTTACATCAATTGTTAAAATTCATGTTGTTGTTATGTGGATTGGCATCTTGTAAAGGTCTCTCACGTCTTGTAGTGGGAGGAGCAGCCTCTGTAATTACCCTGGGAGGTGGTCTGACCAATTAAGTTGGAGGGGGAGGGCATTACATTGATATTTAAGTGAGTGAGGACAGGAGATGGGTGTCTTGATAACGCCCTATGGGAGGGGCGAAACGCGTTGACGCATTTCCGGTCCACACTCTATGCGCCTGACGTCATTTCCGGTGAGTGGAACGCACGCGGAGCGGTGCGTTCCAGCGGCCATCTTGGTTCATTGTTTGGTCTAAGAGGAGTTTTGTCCTTGTTCCATTGTGGATGTGAGAGTCCTGGAAGGAAAAGGTTGTATATCTGCTGGAACTGAAGCCTGTTATACATAATAAACATGCCTTTAGCAAGTGATTAACATGTGAGTGGCCTTAATCTCTATTTGGAATAAGTTACTATGGTGTGACAATATTATGCTATGTGAGTTTTTTTCTTTTGGTTGGATGGTGGAGTCTATTCGGAGGGTGAAGATTTTCCCTAGCGTGGCACCAAAGAGGGTTTAGGATCCCTAAAATTCCTTAAAAGGTCTTTTACTCCTCACCAAGTTCTGGTGAGTGTATTCAATGTTGGTGTGTGCACTGGTGGAAGGTGAAAATATTTTTTGAAGAAATGAAGTTGGCACTTTCATTATATTATTATTTTTTATTTCTACAATTTAATTATGTCTTCAGCACATGGACTTTTGGGTGTTTTTGTTTATTATTAAGGGGAAACACGAATAATTTATGCACTTATTTTAATGATTTATTATATTGATTAATTATCTAAATTTGCGCTGTTTATTTATATTTATATTGTTTGTGTTTTCACGATTGTCACAGCAGCATTTTTAGAGTGTTATTTGGAAAGCTTTGGCGCAGGAATAAGTTTTTTTGTTTAGAAATATGTTAAGCCCTTGTTCCTTTAGCTGCAGTGGGATGTGTTGCCGAGCTGCAAAGGACAGATCAATGAAGCAGCTGAAAGCCCCAGAATCAATAATTGCGGTCACCGATACGATTCTTCCAGGAAACTGGAAGGAAATAGGGACAGCCATATGAGTTGAGCTGATAGGTAATGGTGAATGAGTAGCTGAAGAGAAGGAGATGCACTTACGCAGCTTGGCTGGGCAGGAACGCACATAATGGCCAGTTTCTCCACAGTACAGGCAGAGATTGTTTACTCGGCGGCGTTGGCGTTCCTTAGGAGTTAATGATGGAAGAATCAGACCAAGCTGCATGGGCTCGGGTGCGTCTGATGTCTCAGGATCAAAATTTCTAGAAAGTGGACTAGGCTGGGCCGGAATCTTGGGTAGCATCCATGTAGGCCTAGGAACTTGGTTAGACCTTTCTAACCTGCGTTCACGTAGGCGAGATCAATCTGAATAGATAGTGATCAAATCCTCCAGAGAATTTGGTATGCCAACTCGGGCAAGTAAGTCTTTGAGGTCCTCAGCCAGACCCAAGCGGAACTGGTGATGCAGTGCAGTGTCATTCTAATTAGTGTCTGCACACCAACGTCTAATGTCCGTGACGTAGTCCTCGGCCGCTTGGCGACCCTGTTGAAGAACGGTGTGGTATGAGTGCCTGTGATCAGTCCAGTAATAGCTGATGAGCTGATGAGTTGTAGGCAGGGAGCAGGGTTCTAATGTAGCCGTGCAGGATGGATGGATACTCGAGCGCAGCGTGCTGAGAATGCAGGGTAAGACGAGCCGGGTTCGGTATCAGTCAGGCAGATCAGGCTTACAGCGTCAGGAGGAAGAATAGTCAGGTCACAGGCCAGGTCAGCAACGGAAGATCAATCAGACAGGAAAGGAGACAGAAGAATAATCCAAAGACAAGCCAGAGGTCAGAGCAGGAAGCAATCAAGCAGAGATCAGGAACAGGATGGTTTGGTATCAGGAGTCAATCACAGGAATTGCCGGCCAACATTTTTTTCTTTTTATCATTCATTGGCCAGTGGGATAAAGTGGGGACTATTGTATTAGATTAGGATTTAATATACTGTAAAAGCAGTTCTGTTCTGTTGATTACTGATAGTCAGAATACTGCATGTGTTTAAACACATCCCTCAGAGTAACATTAATGTTTTATTGATTATTTGTATAGGTACACTTGCCAATCCGTTCTTCATTTAGGCTTTTCTTGGCCCAGTACATTTTTTCAAATATATAAGGTGTGTTGGTAAGTACTGAGTGAGCAAGGGGTGTTATCCTCAGGTGTGCAGAGAAATAGGACAACAATTCAGCAGCTCCTCCGGGGGTAATGCTCCAGGTGGGGGTTTATCTGCGGATTTGAATTTGAGACTGGGAGGGCGTAGTGTTCTCCTCCACTGGGAGGACCACTGTGGTGGACCCAGTCACTATTGCCATGTGGGTGTGGGGAGTGGAGTGGTAGATTTTAGCACTGTGTGGTTGTGTGCCTCACTGGTGTTGTCTGATCTGGTGAGTGGTGTCGATGTTGTTGGTGTACCTGGACGACATAATTTTTGGACAGAAAAGTTTGGGGTGACTTTATGAGGAAGAGTTGGGGTTGTCTCTTGTGGGGTGCTAGTTTTGTCGACCATCGGTTATAGGTAAGTCTGTCATAATGCACTAAGAGGCTGTCACAGCCTGGCCCAGGCCCAGAGGAATGAATGGGCAGAGATTATTTCTGAGGTCCTGTTTCTTACTGCTGCAGGGAATTTGTGGGGGTTTGTGAGGATAGTTCAGCCCTTGATGGCTCCTGGGGGCTGGGGAAGATGGGGAGGGGTGGGAGACCTCAGAAAGAATTCATCAGGCCAAGGGACCCACTATGAAAACTTCTTCCTTTGTTACTGCAGTGTGGACAGGGTCAAACTGAATTATCATTAATGCAGAAGTGCAGCAGCCATCTGCATATCTGGATACCACTTTGCAATGCTTGTCTTTGGGAGTGTCTCCAGTGTAGGAGGAAGCAAACTTGGCTGGGTCTGATCCAAACTTGGAGGACGGAAACTGGCTGATGCAACAATTCAAGGTGAGGAGAGAGAGAGAGAGAGAGAGAGAAGAAGAAGAAGAAGAAGAAGAAAGAGAGAGA